AATACTTCACTGTTTTCAGTAAAACGTCTATATCATATGATCTTGGAAAATTTTCATATTTTAACCTAGAAAAATACTTGAAATTATCTTTCTAATGCCACAAATTTCATAGAAAACGGAGTTGGGATGAAGTTTATAAAAATTGTCAAACTTACTGCCCCAACTAATCTTGACAGTGCCGAGGCCGTATATGTGAAGCATAATTCCTTGTCGATGTGTACTTTTATCGGCCATCAAATTTTATAAGAACTATTTTACCAAGTTGAAAATAAGTTTTTAACATGTAATATTTCTATTTAAGAATATTTACATATACCAAAGGCAAAAGTTATTATGTAAAGTACGTGGCCCTCGAAGCTTAAGTTCGGGGTGTCACAAAACCATTCTTTGAAGAATCACTACAAACTACAAAATTTTCAGTACCAGATGGGATTGAAAGGATAGGGGCTGACGTCAGTCTTTTCTTCAATTCCTGAAAACTTTGCTCACAAGCATCTGTCCATTCAAACTTAGTATTCTTTCTAGTTAATTTAGTTAAAGAGGATGCAATTTTTGAAAATTCTTCCACAAATCTACGATAATATCCAGCTAAACCCAGAATGCTTCTAACCTCTGAAGGGTTTATAGGTCGTGGCCAATTATCAATAGCCTCCACTTTACTTGGATCCACTGATATGCCCTCACCTGATACCACATGCCCCAAAAATACAACTCTGTCTAACCAAAATTCACATTTCTTAAACTTAGCATATAACTGCTTGGCCTTTAAGACCTGTAGAACTATTTTCAAGTGTTCAGCATGTTCTTCGTTAGTACGAGAATAAATAAGTATATCATCAATGAATACAATTACGAACTTAGCAAGAAAGTCTCCAAATACCCTATTCATCAGATCCATAAAAGCTGCTGGAGCATTTGTTAATCCAAATGGCATTACCAAAAACTCATAATGACCATATCTCGTACTAAATGCTGTCTTAGAAATGTCATCTTCCTTTATTTTAAGTTGATGGTACCCAGATCGTAAATCAATCTTTGAAAATACAGATGCATCCTGAAGTTGATCAAACAAATCATCAATCCTTGGCAAGGGGTATTTATTTTTAATTGTCACCTTATTCAACTCTCTTTAATCGATACATAGTCTCATTGTACCAACCTTTTTACGAACACACAATACTGGTGCACCCCATGGCGAAAAGCTAGGTCTAATAAAACCTTTATCCAACAACTCTTGTAATTGTAACCTCAACTCTTTCAATTCAGTTGGGGCCATTCTATGTGGAGTCTTGGAAATTGGAGATGTTCCTAGGATTAAATCAAGTACAAAATCTATCTCACGATCTGGTGGTACCCTAGGTAAATCATCAAGAAATACCTCTGGAAATTCTTGTGCCACGGGCACATCACTAAGATTCGGATTGTGTTGTGCTTCCATAGCCATAATACTCACCAAATACCCTACACATCTACTATCTAGTAACCTTTGTGCTTTCAATACCGATATGGTTGGAACTCTAAAACCTTTTTCGATTCCAATGCATGTAAATGGTTTATTCCCCAAAAGTTGAAAGGTTACTGACTTTCTCTTACAGTCTATAGTAGCTTGATATCTTGATAGCCAATCCATACCCAAAATTATATCATAATCTTTCATATCTAACACAATTAAATCTGCATAGAGCTCTCGATTTTCTATAAGGATCGCACATGCTCTTACAATTAGACTGGTTTGTTGTACATCTCCAGATGGAATAGTTACACTATAACTGACCTCATGTATATCAGGTGTCCTACCCAGCCTTCTCACATACTCTGTAGAAACAAATGAATGTGTAGTTCCAGAATCAAATAGTACAAGTGTTGGAATGCCAAAGATAGAAAATTGACCTGTTACAACTGCTGGATTTGCCTCAGCATCGGATCTAGTAATGGTAAACACTCTAGCTGGTACCTTCTTCTGCTCTATAGGATTTGGATTACCTGGGCATGCTCTAGCAAGATGTCCCACCTTTCCACAAACATAACATGTCCTAGTCTCTATAGGACATGCTCCAGTATGCTGTCCACCACATCTGGGGCAAGATGGTTGTGCTATTAAGGCTTTTCCTTGATCTATCCTCGGACGTTTGCCCTGATCCCAATGTTGTTGTCCTTGTCTCGGTTGAAACTTAGGCTTCTGAATCTATCTTTGGAAAGTTCTTTTCTTATCATTTCTAGGCCAACGCTGTCCTTGACCTTGACTAAACTGTCGTCGAGCCTCTTGAGCACGACTAATTCTTTGTTTAGCTTGTTCAACAACTAATGCTTTCTCTGCAATTTGAGAATATGAAACATCTTGGATTCCTGCCATACTTACATCTCTATATAGTTCTGGTCTTAACCCCTCAAGAAACCTTTCTACTTTTAATGCATCAGTATTAATCATGTGGGTTGCAAACCTAGATAGTTGTTCAAATTTACGAATATATCCCCCAACTGTCATCCGTCCTTGTCTTAGCTATATAAATTCATTCATCTTCATGGCTTGAACTGGGGCTGTAAAATATTTATTACGGAATAACTCTTTAAATCTATCCCAAGTCATGGTATTTACATCTTCAATACTACTCATTGTATCCCACCAGTGTCCAGCACTACCTCGTAGCATAAAGGATGCACAAACTACATTTTCTACTTCTGAAACGCTCGTATACCTGAACATATTCTCCAAAGTTCTCAACCAATCCTCTGCAGCTGTTGGGTCTAATGCATCCTCAAATATTGGAGGGTTTAGTTTTCTAAATCTTTCCCCAACTGCCTCAATATGTTCAGCCCTTTGTTGTAGTTGTATGAATTCAGCCCTTTGATGTTCTCCCCTTTCTCCTTGTTGTATTAATGACTGAATTTGTTGAGATTGTCACTCAACTAGTTCCGTTAGTCTATCAATAACAACATCCCGACTGTCATCTTGAACAGAAGCCCCTTGTGCTGGAGTTCTAGCTCTACTACTACTAGCATCCTTGGTTCTCACCATGGCTGTAAGTAAAGATTGGCCAATATCATTCATGAAGTATGTAAAAATAATGCAACAAAAAAAACTTACAGGCTTAGCTGTGCACTTTCATACTCCGAGATCATGTACATGGATAGTCTACAGAATTATAACCTTGCTCTGATACCACTCTCTGTCACACCCCAAATATATATAGATAACCATACTAATTCCTATGTCGAAATGATATTGGTAACTCGATCTAGACACAAAATTTAGATATACTTTTTTTTAATAAAATGAAACGAGCATTTGCACAATTATGTCCCTATTTGTTAACTTCAAATCACCTGTGATGATCATATTTTATATCAAAATCAACGACCATATAACCATAATCCAACACGTGTGTTCTAAGGTTATAAACACATCTATAGGCCATTTCAAAAGTTATACAAGACAGGACCCCCAAAATACGACACAATAGAGTGTAAGCTCAAAACAATAGCCCACAAAATAACCCTACAGGTCGTCATCCATGTACATTGATCTTTGGAATCCCGTAAGAGCTCCACAGCTAGCCGTGCTCTCTACATAGTTCCATGCTCACCTACAATGCAAGAACTACATAAGCCAATGCTTAGTAAGCAAGAATCATGCATGTCATGAGTATGACTAACAAGGATATGTGACACCATGTCATTTATTTTAAACATCATGCTAAAGATGCATCATAATCCAATATTCATCAAAGTCGACTCGAAATTATTTCATTTGAAATCTGTCATTTCATTGGGCCCTTGACCCACCAACTATGCACCGGATAGAGCTCTGCATAATATCAATATCAATAATCAAGTGGCCAATATGAAATCGACACCGGCGAGTGGACCATCCTCTCGTGATCGCTAGAGGCCCATCCCCTAACTACCCCTATGATCACCCAAGAAGTCTCCCACCCGACAGCACCCATAATCATAACAAGGGCATAGTCGAGTGGTCCGCCCTCCCGTGATCACCAAAGGCCCATCCCCTGTCTACCTTTGCAATCACCCAGGAAGTATCACCCGCGATACCAAACGTATCACATAAGCATGCCTCGGTGCCCTAGTAGTGGTCAATAAAACTTTTATAAAGAAAACTTACTTTGAAATCATGTTTCGCATGCAAAGTTTTCAACCATGATCATATGTTGTGCATGCCAACGAAAATGCTCATGAATGACATGCTTAATGGAAGTTGATGTCAATGTATTTTGCAACCGCATACTCAATGATTATAATCATCATATAGGGTACAACGAGCTTTCTTATCAAAGTACGAAAATATCCTAATATCACTATACCACAAATACTAGGTTCTTGCATCGTAGTTGCAAATGGATTTTTACTTACCTTTTTGCCCTTGTGTGTGCACAAGCTCTTACGGAGATTATATCACTTTCCTTTTTCACTCAACGTCAGAAAATCACCTGTATTACCATTTAATATTAAAGACAATCCTCCATTTAATAGCCTTAACACACACAAAATCCCAAAATACCTCCATTCACGTGAAAATAATTTAAACGAATTCATTATTCAAGTTACTAACGGCATTACGATCTCGTCCCATAAGTCTCATTTTTCCTCGAGTCCAATTACCAACATCAACGTCATCCAATTGTTGTCAACAACCTAATACTCCTTAGAATCTATTTTCTAGGCCCAAGATATAATTAATTTACATGTAAAGGTTGAAATCATATTAAACACGTAAATGGACAGAACCTATTTTTCAGGTTTCATCACCGTCCAACTACTTTTCCAATCCGTTTTCACCCCCTTATCCATATTCAATGACTCCCAAATTTTTACCACGTTTCTATAACATGTATGTGAAGGCAATAATGCTCTAAAGTCGTGACAAATCAAGTGTTCTCAGCATCAAAATAGTCCATTACCACGACATCAAAATCAGGCAGTTTTCATTGTGACAGCTTTCGGTTTCCATTTTATTAGCATGTCATCAAACAGATTCCAGGCTATTAGAAGACCATTTATTCCTTCTAAATCCCATATAAAAACATTCATTTACATAGATACAAGTTATATCTTCAGTATTATCCAAAATCAAAGTTTAAACCATCCAAATTCATCAATCAACACATCTCTATTCCTGTTGGTTTCTTTCAGGTTCTTGTACTCAATTACCCCTCTCTTTTGCCATCATAAAATCATAAACAACCCTTATACTTAGCCTCAAGTAAGTTTATAGTTTAAACATATTATAAAACAAGCAAAAGAGCTAAAGAAAAACTTCAAAACCGTGAGCTAAACTCACCTATCCAGAAATTCAATTTCAGCTCCTTGTTTCTGCTTCTCTCTTTTCCTTTTTGCTTTCTCTTTCAATAAGTGGTCAATTGGGGATAATTTGTAAGACTAAACATGTTGTTAGGAGGTGTATATAAAGTCTTCAAGATGCTGGAGACGTGACTCTTCCTTATGGATTAAGAAAATGTGGGGTGCAGCCAAGTGTTTAGCATGAGGTGGTCTTTTCCTACTATATTTG